TGTGAACAAATTATTTAAAAAAACTATTGAAAAATATGAAAAACTAGAGAGCTGTTTGATCTTAATTCAGGAATTTCGTGTAGTACACTGACATGGTCTGCCTTGGAATAGAATCAAAGAACATCAGATATGGAAGGAAATACTTAGTTACTCACTTACTTACTTACTTACGCCTGTTACTCCCAATGGAGCATAGGTCGCAGACCAGCATTCTCCAACCCACTCTGTTCTGGGCCTTTCTTTCTAGTTCTATCTAATCCTTGTTCATTATTTTCAGGTATGTCACCATTTCTCGTCGTAATGTGTTCTTGGTCTTTCTCTCTTCCTTTGGCCTTACGGATTCCAAGTGAGGGCTTGTCTTTTGACGCAGTTGGGTGCTTTCCTCAATGTGTGTCCTATCCACTTCCAGAGCTTCTTCCTGACTTCTTCCTCCACTGGGATCTGGTTTGTTCTCTTACACAGTAGGTTGTTGCTGATAGTGTCTGGAAAACGGATCTGAAGTAATTTGAAGTTGAATGGAAAGAAATGTCAAACATTTGATTTACTGACTTCATAAACAATAGCCTGTAACTCCACCTTCAAATGACTCAATTAATTACTTGAAAGATTATATGAAAAATCGTAGTATATAGATAGATAGACAGATAGATAGATAGGACTTTAGGGGACTGGTTTTATCCATATGAATTGATCCGACATTACTCAGTTTCATATAAAAAATAATTTTAATTGAACATATTTGATTGAATCTGGCCCCCAGTCGAACTATGTACATTCTGATTGGAACATGCGTTGATGCTTACTGTTAATTTACACCTTAGCATTATCTCTCTCAAGAATGCAAATATTCTTTTCTAACAGAATTTAACTAGCATGAAACCTAAATTTTAATACTATCTTCTTATTTAGTGCTTTCAGCTATTCTGTATAGATCAAGTCGCATTCGTAATCCCAATTTACTTAAATCATAATGGTTATACTTACAACATGATCGATGGAATATAATCAGTGTTGAAGACGCAGACAACCCTCATATTTAGTTACTATAGAATGATCAGTTCACAAAGATCTTCGAAAGTAAACAGACAAATTAATTCACCATTTAGTTAACACAAACTTTCAATCAACCCTCAATTAAAATTACTTCAACGATTTGTTTTATAATTTGAAGTGTACAGGTCATCGATTCAGTAAACTCCTTATATATGGATGATGGCTAGCATTTAAATCCAGGATGAGCGTTTTGTCTTATTTGAGACTCATTATCTGAATGTAGCTACATCCTAGAGTTGATTTTTACTCCTGGACCCAAACCCAGTAATATTCGCTTCGTAAAGCCATCACGTTATCCATTTAGCATTTGGGTCCGATTAGTCACTGAGTAGTATAATAGAATGGGGTTTAATTCACACAAACTGATTGCTTACGTTTCTGTAAAACCCGGATTTCACTATTAGTTATCATCCATCTCTGCTTGAAATGGTCGTGACTTCATAGCGATATCGAGTCAATCAGTATGATATGATAAAAAGAAACTGATCAATTATAGTCCTACACATAACTGAGGAGACCGAAACAACCAATATATATGTGTGTATGCACGCATATATGTATGTATTATTATTATCACTATTATAATCAAATTTGGACAACATAATCGTTTTTATGTATAGATTATCAGTTCTTCATATTTTCTTATTTACATTAAAACCAGTTTATACATTGTATACGTTAAACAAGAAAGGCAACTGAATGATTTTTCTCAAGTCTTGTTCATGTCTTTGTGTAAAACAGATATGGAAATAAGATTCTTTTTAAACTTCGGTTAATCATTTAAAGAATCTGCACACATTGATTTCACGTAAGGTATGGCTTTTGAATCAGTGAAAGAAGATTTATAGTTTAAGTTGAATGAATTGACTATAAAGCTTTCATTGTCATTGCATCAAATAATATTATCATATAGCTAAAGATGAACATGGAACTACTTATTAGTTGGTCACTAGTATTCTTGACCGTTAAATGGATGGAAGTAGTCGGAAGGAAACCCTGAATGTAAGTCTTATACTGTTTTTCATTTGTCAGGAATAAGCATATTCAATGCTAATAAATTAATGATCCCTAGTAGATTAGAATAAGCAACATCAAGCTTCAGAGTTTGGTATATTACGAGTGAGCTTTTTGGATAGCCACAAAAATAGTGACTACCATCACAACTGTCTAATTTCTAGATCTAGTTAGGTTCTATTGATCAAGTTGCAATGAAAGTACCCTAGCCTAAGTTATTCTCATGGTGAGCATCAAACTCCTTAAGATTACTGGTAAGACTTACGGACAAGTGCCGTAAAGCAAGAAACTCAAGTCCAAGAATTCCCACCTCCCCGAAAACATTCAATAACGTAACATCAAAATATAGTCCGCGCGATGTATGGCCTGAAAAATTAGTTCTAGGCCGATGACAAATAGATCGACAGAATTCCATAACCCACAAAGAAAAAGACAAATATGACTCAGTGATAAATTATTTGTAAACATTTCTGAATACATTAAATTTACGAGAGAAGAATAAGCAGACAGAAGAAAAATTAGACTGGGACCACAAATATTCAAGCCAAACAAATAAAATGGTTGAAGTCACATTACTGATCCGATAGTGTACAAAATAAACACTGATCAGATTATTTTAAAACACAACATTAATTAAAGTGTCTGTATTCCATATTAGTGGTTAAAGGTGATTAGTTCTTGTTACCATGTGTACATTCTAAGTGGACTGACCAAGCAATGTCATTTAGTTAACAATTTTAGTAAAGTTAGATTTTAGCTAGTAACCGAATCTAGGATGAGTGTTACATGTTGTTTGAAACTAGTCGTTATTAATATACTACCTATTATAGATTGATGAGAAAGAAATTCGTTCCAAAAACTGAGTTTAACGAATGAAGTATTCACAGGCAATCAAATAAAAATATTACACGCTTTGCTGTGAATGTGATGAGTAACGTAAATCATGAAATTTCACAACCTCTACTAATCGATTACATTCAAAATAATCATGCGCTCTTTAATGACTAATTTCTAGAGGTAATTTTTCAGAGTTCTATGAAAAGCGATTATCAAAATTATTAAACCCTATCAGAAATCAATATTGTAAGTATTCATTGACCGACTCATTTGAATTAATTAATTACTTAAAGGATATAAATATAAAAACAAAGACAATGTGCTCTTTTGATGTAAACACTTTATTTACAAATGTACCTCTTAGGAAAACCATTGATATTTTGTGTGACTTTATTTCTTCGAATAACCTTTCACTGCCATTTCCTGTTAAAACTCTTAAAGATTTATTATTATTGTGTACAGATAATGTAAAATTCACATTTGAAGGTGAACATTTCAGACAGATAGATGGTGTAGCTATGGGTAGCCCTCTAGGACCATTGCTGGCTGATGTTTTCATGGGATATGTTGAAAATTTAGTTGAAGACTCAATTCGAAAGATGCGTCTGTATAAACGATATGTAGATGACATAATAATCATAGGGGATAAAACTGAAGACATAAATCACTTGTTAGAAGAATTCAATAGTAGTCAAAAGCACATCTCTCTTACATGTGAAGAAGAGAAGAACAATCAACTTCCTTTTCTTGACATCCTGATTAGTAGGAGATATGATGGTTCCATAAAACGTGCTATATATAGAAAACCAACATGGACAGGACAATATCTTAATTTTCATAGTCACTGCCCTATTCATTATAAACGTGGTTTAATAAAGAGCTTATTCAATAGAATCAATCGTATTTGTAGTAGTGATACTATTGAAGTAGAGATGAAGCTCTTGACTGATGCGTTAATCAATAATGGTTATTCTTTGAAGTTCATAAACCGCTGGAGGGTTTGCAATACGACTAAACCTATGACGCTTCTGGCACCCAAAAAGCGAGTTTATATTACGTTACCATTCAGAGGTGACACAAATAGTTTCGTGTTGAAACAGAGACTTAAATTAGCTATCATCCGGATATTTTATGCAGCCCAACTTGTCATTATCGAAAAGACAAGGTCTATGTTTCATCAAAAGCCCAAACAGCACAAAAGCGATTGTGTCACATCCCATTGTGTCTATCAATTTACATGTATGTGTGGAAACACGTACATAGGGAGGAGCAATCGTGATTTGCAATTAAGGGTGGGTGAACATATACCAAAATGGTTGCAGAATCAGATGAATTCCAATGGTCAAATAAGATCACAGGATAGACAGACATCATCATCCATTGCGAAACATTTGATTGAGACTAGTCATAAGGTTGATATCAAATCAGCATTTGTTGTGTTATACAAAAGCCTTCAAGGACGTACACTAAGGTTTATTGAAGCCTTGGATATACGGAAAATGAAACCCCCTTTATGTGTTCAAAAACAATTTGTCCTTACACTTAACTTACCCTGGTAATACTATTTATTATCCAGAATGGTTATCACATTTGTTTTTGTGTACTTTAATATTTTTTCCTTTGTTATGACTTACCCTTAACCTGTCTAGTTGATCTTTTAATTTTCATATATAAATGTTCTTAACAAGTATATATGTGATCAGACTGTTCGAAATGTATTGCGCAAATATATCACATAATTATGATAAACTACGTCTTCTCATTGCATTATCGAAATTTATCAAAGGGACTAATTGTTTTAAAGATCTGAAGAGTATAAACTTATCAGTTGTGAGACAGTTATATTCTAATTGAGTTGGTGGATGGTTGCTCAATATGGTGAATTAAGTATAATTAGGAATATGATCTATTTAATGGATCAAATCCCAAACGATTGCCACAAAATCTTCAGGTCCCAGGTTCCAAACTCTATCCTGTCGTAGATATACAATTCTGTGAAACCCTATACTGCGACGAAACAGCTATAATGTACTTACTAACTTTTAATTGATCATCTTAATAAGATCAATCGATTATGTAAACTATACAGATCAATAATCACTTTAAATCCCCTGTTGTAATAATACAAATAAACTATGGAAACTGATTTAAAAACATTACATTCCAATATTCTATCTATGATTGATTTCATATTTTCCTCTCATCGAAAACAAAAAAAAATAGTTATACACATTTCAGACAAATATTTTGAATATCTATCTACCTATGAATAACAAAATGTAATTGACAGTAGTTAAACGAATTTTCACCAAAAAAAATAGAAAAATCTTTTTGTTTTCCAATGTAACTAACTGGCTAAATGAGGAAATAATCATAATCATAATACATCTTTGAGAAAAACAAAAATAAATCCATTCTAGTTTTTTTATTAATAGTCTCACCTGTTTCTTTTTTCTCTCTTTACAGACATGTTTATTCATAATAACTTATAGTCATCATAGTTGTTAATCAGCTGGAAAACATGTGATTGGTTAGTTTCTCAAATGTGCTTAACCAATCAAATTAAAGTATTTTGAAATCATGCTAAAACTATCTTGTTACGATGTGTGAATAGAAAGATATTTTGTAATGGCTATAATAATAAAAATATAGAATCAATCATTGTTCATAAACACAAAGGATTAATTACTTCTATAAACAACTTTCATAATTACATATAACATATACATTAGACTATACACGTCACAATATATTAAATATGACATAATGAATAATGCCTTACAACTGGAATAAATACTTTTGGACAATTCATATCATTATTTTTATAATTCTATTAGAAATTTTATGTCATGTAACTATGGAAAGTTATTTTGAGAATAATAAACAATGTTTATTTCATATAGAATAAAAGAAGAACTCCCAAATGGTACATTAGTTGGTAATTTATTTAATGATGTTAAAACATTATATGAGAAATTCAAATTTACCATTTCATCTTCATTGACAACAGAAATAATAACGTTACATTCAATTAAACAATTAAGAAAGTTTGAATTAAATCCTTATGATTTAAATTCTAAAGAAATAAGTGATTATTTTAAATTAGATCAACAAACTGGTGATCTATTTGTACAAAATCGTATCGATTATGAGCATATATGCCCGAAACCTTTAGTTCATTCTACCTCTTCCATAATGACTTCCTCTTCTTCAGCATCATTATCATCAAAAGGTCTTTCAATAATCAATTCCAAAAATCATGGATTATTACATCTTTCGCGTTATGATTGTTTAATTAAATTGATTTTATTTGTAAGTTTAAATAATTCTACTGATGAACGTTGGATCCCAATTATGATTTATATTGAAGATATTAATGATAATCGTCCAAAATTTATTGAATTAAATTCATCAAATGCATTTGATTACTTTAATGTAACAATAAAAGAGAATATTCCACTCGGTACAAGAATTCCTTTAATGAAAGCATATGATTTAGATACAATGGAGAAAAATGCAAATATTTTATATAAATTAAATTATCCTATACATGATAATCAAACTGATTATTATCGAGTCTTTGGCTTAGTAACATGTTCCACCGATGAATATAATGACAATAATAATAATAATAATCAATTTAAAGACAGACTAATCAAAGGAAGAAGTCATGATGATTCCCCATGTTTAATCATTAAAGATAGTTTAGATTATGAAATGAAACAATATTATTCCATAGAATTAATTGCATGTGAATCTGGTTATTCATCTATGGATTGTGCAATATTACCAATAAAGATTTCAATCATCGATATCAATGATAATAAACCAAAATTTATATTTCCATTAGAAAATTATTATTCATTAAATATATCAGAGAATTTACCAATTGGAACATTATTATTAAAAATTGAAGCCATTGATATAGATAGTGGTGAGAATTCACGTTTAACTTATAGTTTAACACAAAATTCATTTCGAAAAAAATTAGTTACCATGGAAACCAATAATAATGATAATAATAATGACTACTCAAATAATGATAATAATCATAATCAATCAAATTCATTTAATCAATTTATAATCAATCCAAATAATGGAGAGATACGTTTAAATCAATTATTACATGCTCATGTAACACAACAAATTGAAATTATTGTACATGTTAATGATAATGGTTTACCGATGCATAAAATTTCAAAAACTATCCTATTTCATATCATTGATATTAATAATCATGCACCAAAGATACAAATTAAAAAAATTGATTGTAATAAATTTAATATAGAATCAAATGAAATTAAAATTTCAAATAAAATTGAATCTGGTAGTTATATAGGATTTATAGTTGTTAGTGATGCAGATCTTGGACAAAATGGTCAAGTAACCTGTCATCAAAAATTTGAAGACTATAATAATCATAATAACTGGAAGGAGTATTCACATTTTAAAATTAATCTAATCAATAATGGTCAAATATCTAGTCAATATCTATATACATTACAAGTAATAAGAGATGAGTATATAAACAATGAAAACACTGATCTATTCCATTCTAAAATCAATACATCAATCAATAATCAATCGGAAACAAATTTTACACAAAAATTAATTTCATTTATCATGATTATTACATGTAAAGATCATGGTAGTCCATCATTTTTAACAACATCAATAAATTTAATCATTACAGTGATAGATTATCGATATATTGATTTATGCTTTGAACAAATGAATTATGAATTAATCATTGAAGAATCCAATCAACCATTATTACATTTATTACAACCACAATTAATTGGTATTGTAAATCAATTAAATTTTAATATAAAACCTAAAAATAATCAATATAAAATAGGTTGTGATCAATTGAATATAAATCAATTCACTGGTGAATTATCAGCACCAAATGGTATGGATAGAGAAAAAATATCATATTTTATATGTATATTAATAGCTAAAGAAATTAATAATGATCATTTATTCAAACAAAATCGTATTGCTCATACTGAATTGATTATTAATATTACTGATATTAATGACAATGAACCAACATTAAATAATGATATATTATTATATGGTTTTACAATATATGAATGGGATCAATATCATAATAATAATGAAATAGAAATTGATTTAAATAATCAAACAAATTCATATATCATTGGTTATTTAAATGCAATTGATTTAGATGATGGTATAAATGGTACAGTAATCTATAGATTAGCACAAATTACGATTGAAAAAACGATTGATTATCGTAATGATACAAATCAATATTTAATAAAAATAATGATCATAATAATAATGATCTAAAATCAATATTTCATATTGATTCAACTAGTGGTTTAATTAGTATATCAAAAAATCAATATCATTTCATTGATCGTGAACAAATAAGTGTTTATTATTTACAAATAATTCTTGAAGATATGGGTTATCCAATCAAATTAACTTCTATACAAACAATTAATATTTATGTGAATGATATAAATGATAATGCACCAAAATGGTATCATACAATTGAATCTAATTATATACAATTAAATTCATTAAAACAAATTATAATTTATCATCTTGAACCAATATGGGAAATTAATCAAAATTCACCAATTGAATTAAAATCAAAATTAAATGCTTATGATAATGATTTAAATGATAATGCTAAATTACAAATGTATATTATTGAACCAATTGATGAATATCAACAATTTATTGGCCGAAACAAGTTAAGCTTACCAATAGATTCATTATATTTATCAATTCATGGTGAATTAATATTATATATTGATAAATTACAAGAAATTTATCAATATTATACATTTGTACGTGTACAAGATCATGGTATACATAGACAATTATATACAGATGGTTATTTTTTTATACAATTACCAATAAAAACAATGAATAAATTAGAATTATCTATGAATTCATTAAATATAACAAATCGATATATTGATCATTTCAATAAATCAATAAATACAAATCAATTAAAAATCAATACTCAATCAACATGGTTATGGTTCAATGAATTCAAGATCATGATTCTATTAATTATTTCATTAAGTTTAATTATTATTCTTTCAATAATTATAATTTTTATTATTTTCATAAAATTTCATAAAAAAAAACAAAAACATTCTAGAAACATTTATTTTCATCAAATAATCGATAATATAGAGGGGAAAAATGATACATGAATTCAGATTATTATACTACTCATACAAGTAATAGTAGTAGTAATAATAATAATAATCATACAATAATGAATAAAAATGATTATTTAATTATGAATTCAAATTATAAATATAATCCAATGAATTTAATTTATCAATCATCTGATCTAATGAATAATCATTATTTCAATGATTCAATGAAACAATTGAATTTAAATACAAATCCATTGAATATAACATCGAACTGTTCAAATTTATATCCTCATAATAATAATAATAATAATAATAATACTGTTGATCATCAATATTCTCATGAACATGTTCATGGGAATGAATTGAATCATTCATATGTTGATTCAATGTTTCAACAAATATCAACCCCATATGAATTATTTTATCCAACTATTTATACTAATTTAATGACATCATATGATTTGAATAAAAATGAGAATAGTACAATGAATACTACTACTACTACTACTACAACCACTACTAACATGAATAATAGTAGTAGTAGTCATTGTAATTATCAATATTTTAATAATACACTTCATTATTAAAAGTATAAAATATCAGATCTATTGATAAGTAGAAAGAATTTTATTGAACAAGTGACGATATCATTGTCGTCATCATCATCAACTTCATCATTGGTCGTACTGATGATAATAATCGCTTATAAAGAACAAAATATATAATGAATGCTCAATCAGTAATGATGAAACATTATTGGGATAATTGTGAATATATTGAGTTATTGTATACAATGTTACACATTTTTTGACTATGGATACGTATAGAATAAATAAGTTTACCGTAATTTCAACTTAGTATATTTGTGTATATGTGTGATTGGAAGGAAATGGGATTGTATAATTATCAACAAATTCTACCTTCATCAAAAATGTTGTATTATTTTTCTTTCTAAGTGTAGACATTATCAGAATGATAAATTCAGTATGTAACATATTTTCTGCTGTGTACAACGAAATTAAAATAGTTTATTTTTTCTTCTTCGTCTCTCTCTCTCTCTCTCAATTTACGTGTATATCAGTAACCTTAAACCTGTATAAACACTTAAGTTGAATAATATTCATTACAATACAATATTTTTTGGAGTTCTAGTGAGAAGCCGTGACCAATGGAGGTCTGTATGAGATAGTAATTCACTGAAGACAATGGTGGACGGTGGTGCGATTTCTTGAATTAGCTGAAGTTAGACATTAACACCATTGGGTACTGGCTTAGTGGTCTAGTGGTTAAGCGCTCGCGCACGAGACCGATACGTTCTGGGTTTGAATCTCGCAGGGTACGGGGTCGTGGATGCACAATGCTGAGCAGTCCTATACAACGACAAAATGACCGTCCAGTACTTCCAGGTTTTTCATGGTGGTCTAGCTTTAATTAACCCATGAATGTGATATTTTTTCCCTTAAAAGAAAATTTTGATTCACTTCTCTTTGTTGCTTTCTTTTTATTTGTTTAATCAATCTTTGTTATTTGACATAAATCGTCACATTTATTAATGTCTTACAGTTGAAATTTTAAGCTTATTTACTAAATGTATGATTTTGTTCTACCTGAAGAACTGATTGTTCTCAATATGTCTACCTTTAGAGCTCATAAACATAGACACAAGTTAAGCCATACATAAGAAATGTTAGAGTGTTATTTAAACTAATACCTAATTACACAAATATTAATGGTAACAATGGTAGTTTATTGCCGGGATAACTGTCTCATTATTACTTAAAGTGCAAATTTATGTCAAGCTTGAAAAGATGCAATCGGTGGAATTTAAGAAGTTTGTTCTATTCGAGACTCTTCAGCTGGATAAACCTAAATCTTAGTGTTTAGACTGAGACTTGATCCAAGTACTTTACACTTTAAACTCTTGAAGCTCATTACGGATATAAACACTGAGATGAAGGTATATTCGGTTAACGACTCCCAAATATAACAAAGTATGCAGTGTAAATATCACTATTAGCAACTATCCAACCTTAACAAAAAGTATTTTATATGCAAAACTTTGGATCAAATAATTTTTCCTCTGGCAAACTATATATGAAGCACATCTGCCAATGAATGCTGATCAAAGTTTAGTTATGACTATGAACCAGGAAATAATCCGAACCCTTGCTATTGTTAGCATAAAATGATTACGTCATTAATCTGTCTACCCAATACTATTTAGGAGAGAATTCATTTCGACTTACGTTAAGGTCTTGATAAAATAGACTGTCTGGTTCAATTTTGAAGCTGGAAATATGTGAATCCAAAATAAGACTAACTGCCTTGATTAGAGAGATGAAAACTATCCTATCACCTGGTTGGTTGACAAGTGCACAAGAGAGAAGACGAGTCAACTGGAACACTTGTCGATTTATTCCTAATTTCCACTTTAGATTGGTGTATGGGTAGATGACTAACATGACCACAGCGCATAGACAATCAGGAAAATACAAATTGGGCATTGGGTTAGAAAAATAGAGTACCAATGGTTACATTTAAATTAGAATAGTTTTGGGACAAAAAAGAGTATGGTAGTGAATCATGCATCAAATGAAAGCATATTGTTTACAGTATAACCTAGGCTTAAAACTAAATGTTAGTATTTTACAAACTTTGAATTAAGTAATATAATTCCCCCCAAATAGCTTCCGTTATTTGTCATGACTTATTTATTTCTCTATTCACATCAAAAATCATATGTATTAAATAAGTTAGTGACTCTTTGAATTCATTACTTCAGTTAATTATCAAAATATCAGTCAATCGTCTCAGATTTCATTGTTCTTTCATTTCCACACTAATCATTCTCTGTTCTCGTTCTCTTTTCTTCGGTCTTTTTAACCACCTACCACCAGGTATTTTACTTTCAATTGATGATACATACTACTTATATCTATCGACATCAGTAGCACACACCACAAGTTCAAGTCTCAAGACAAATGTAGGCACATCATCCGTTGACAAGTTCCAAATAGAATGAAATGATTCATGCGATCGATTTATTAATTTCAATTTACCTGATTCGATCACATGTATTAACTGAAATAATTTTTATTCAATATATTTTACTACCTACTAATTAATTTATATCACTTAGTGCATTATGTAATCTATGATTATGTAATTCGTTTGGTTAATAATTATGTTTTGTTATGTAAATTTATCCTGATTATCATATATGATTGTCTTTTTTTAACCGACGACTTCATTTCAAGTATCACATAGTATACTTGTGATTTACTTTAATTACAGTTGGGAATTGATATTCTATAATTTTTTTGTTCAACTAGGTCTGTTGTGAGTTAGTAACTCACTGAAGACAGTGGTGGATGTGTCGCTCAATTTCGTGGAGTAGTTGGAGTTGGACATTAACACCATTAGATACCGGCTCAAAGATCTAGTGATTAAGCGCTCGCGCTCGAGACTGATAGGTCCTGGGTTCGAATCTTGCGGGGGGCGGGATCGTGGATGCACACTGCCGAGGAGTCCCACAATAGGATGAAACGGCCGTTCAGTGCTTCCAGGTTTTCCATGGTGGTCTAGCTTCAACTGACTCATGATATCAACCATTGAAATTTTTTTGTATTTTAAAATGTATTTAGCTTAGTACTTAGTTATACGTTTCAATTTATTTATTTATTTGTTGCCAAGAAATAATTTTTGTATATTTAAGAGTTTTAGTGTTTTTTGTTGTTCTTGTTGTTGTTGATTGTTTATTATAAGGATGGCATTAAATTAGTCCTTATTGACGTGTGTATAGATTCATTGGACATAGATATTTCGTAAAAAGCGTTTTGGAAGAGAATTATTGTGGTGAACAGTGGAACCTCCCTAACTGGAAGTGTTTCTTACCGATGTTTACATCGCTTAAAATACAAATGCGTTTTCAATGAACCACTAAGTTTGAAGTGAAAAGTACTGATTTTGAGCCTCATTTAGGTCTGTTAGCTGGATGGTTCGTTTATGAAAATTTTATTATTGTTCGGGACAATACTATGAACACTTACTGAAAGGGGAAGTTAGATGTGAGAATTTACCCACGATTGATTAATAGCTTTTTCTGTTGACCTGGAATATGAATGATTGTTATCCATAACTGTGTGTTCATTGTAAGTATACACTAAGGTTTGTTATTTTTCCAAACTTCAACTCTGGTAGATTAGTCGATTTCTGTTTAAAAACCTGGAAGCACTGGACGGTCGTTTCGTCCTAGTATGGGGCTCCTCGACAGTGCTCATCCACGACCCCGTATGTGTGACCCGAACCCAGGAACTTCGAACTCGCGAAATTTTCAATCTCAAGACCACAGAGCCGGCCAACAACCAACAGTTTTAATGTCTAACTTCAACTAATCCACGAAATTGCGCGACCATCTTCCATCGTCTGAGTTAGATACCTGTCTCTACCTGACACGGATTAGCTCTACTGGTCATGGTTTCTCTCTCGATCTCCAAAAATTCCCTTACACAGCTAATCACTAGTGAGGACATGGTAATTATCAGTTTGACATTGTACTTTATTCAACATTTTCAACTGTGTACATTACAGTAAAAAAAATATAACTGCACAATACATTCAATGTAACCAATAATCTAACTAGATTTTGATTGGTTCATTTTCAATAGAGTTTTAACGCACATCATATCTATGTTCCTATTGGTCAATCGACTGTTTATTCGGTTGTTTTTACTGGTAGATGTTTACAATTTTAAAACTACCTCCAGTTTTTTTTAAGTTAAAATATAAACGATGATAAATTTTCAATGTCATAAATAAATGACCAAAAACAAAATTTTATTCCCATTTTGTTATTATGATTATTAGTTTTTCTTTTTTGAAAATAAAAGACTCCTTTTTGTCAAGGTCCAAATTGAATTAATTGACTGTGTCTTTCATCTGGTTTGTGAATAAATAACTAAATAATTGTTACAATTTTTCTTATTACATTTTGTAAATATGAAGTGTTACACTGTCCGAACTGGTTTATTTAAACAATCAATTAGTAAGCTACTGTGTATGTAAGTTTATGTGTGTGTGTGTCTGTGTTTGTGTTCGTCTATGTCTCATGTTAAATGGTATTAAACATGTATAACTTTTAAGATCCATAAGGTTGTAGATATAAAATGGGTTTCTGTTTCCTGGTTTTTTCTTTTTTTCCCTATAAATTCTTGGTACTTATTGATAACCAAGTGTTTTTTTCGTTTTACATAGAAAGATAGAATGAAACATTTTAGATTTAAATTCACACACCCAGTTCTTTTTATTACAAAGATAAATCATTAAGATTTTGTATTGTTACATGGAGATTGGTGATATATCAGTTACAAAAGGTTTATTGTTAGAAAATTCACAAGTTATCCAATTCGATTATTATTGTTAATTAATAATAGTTATAAAATGTAAAAGAGGACGATGGTAACTATTATTTAAGTTATATTTCTCCAGAGAATTTCATTATTATCTGATTGATTGTTGTAGACTATAGATGGCTGTTTCTAACGGGTCTCAAGATTATACATGACACTGTAAAAAGCTTTTCTATTAAAGTTTTGAATGCGTTGAATAGCAAGCTTGTTATCGAGTTCCTGAGTTCTGCTTTGTAATAACTTGGGAGATTACTTTTGGACTGTTTTGTATTCATCATCTCCCATTTATAGTTTGGGTAGATCTCGTTACGTATTAAAGGAACCTTCTAATCGTTGGTTATTCAGAAGTACCGTAAATCTTCTTATAAAAAAACAATTTATATATATTCAGCTCTGAGTTATATTTATGTGTGGGAACGGTGGTACTTTCCAGTTGCCAGAAGCGACATAATTGGAACAGTTCATTAAATCAAAGAATAGTTGAGCTACAAAACCATCAATCTTTTCATACTGCAATGCAGTGCTGTGTTCTGTTGTATCATTCAGTTACTTTCACGCCCTTAATGGTTAATCAAGCAGCTGTTAAGAAAGATGAAGAACAAGTCCATCTAGGGGTTTAGATAGTCAAAAGACCGACAGACTGCAAATATTTAGCGTGTTTCCAGACTGACGGGAAACTTTGACTCCTAACCTTGGCTCAATACATAACTCGAGTTTATTTTTAATTGTATGTGTTATATCCTAGTGAAAATTAAATT